TGAGGTGGAAGGATTGCCTGCGCCCAGACGTTTGAGGCTGTAGTGGCTGTGAGAACACCACTTCACTCCAGCCTGGGGGACAGATTGAGACTCTGATTCAAAAAACAAAAACAAAAAACAAAACCGACATGCATGAACATTATATAAGTTAAGAGAACTACAAACCTAGGAGAAGGCAAGAAAGTCCCCAAGATAGAACTTTTCAAAAAAACACTATTATTTCTTGTGTAAAATATTTTATTTCCTAGCAAGCTTAGTATATATTAAAAGTTAAATCTTCTGCATTTGATGGCTACTTTCATATGAATTTATAGGTGGAAATTTCTATCCAGGGTATTTAGGATATTTATTAGTAATTCATTCATATGTTATTTGAGAAACTGTATATCTTATTTTTCAAACAGAATTCTAAATGAGCTTTTTATCTATCTGCTGAGTCAGGAACTTGACACGACTTTCTTTGGTGTGTAAGGAAGCCAGTGGTTAACTTTAGATGTAAAGGAGATCTTCAAGCACGCTCAATTTTTTGACTTCAGGTTTCTGTATGATTTCAGGAAATCTATGCATTTTCCCTGTGTAAGATTCTTATCCCAGGGATAGTGGAAGGGTTGTTCAGAAATGAAGCTCACGGGAAGTGGGAAATCAGAAAGATATTGGAGTTCTGCTGTGCCAGTTCAATCATACTCAGTCAAATTATAGGCAGATAACCTGGATGTTATTTCTGGGTGTGATATGAACTTAGTATCTAATTATGCTTTTTTTCCCATTTTCTCTGAATCATTTTAGTCTGGTGCTGTTATATCCCCATCTGTCATGTCTGTCATATATGTGAGATTCTCTTTTGAGACTCATGCACCTCTGAACAAATACCACATTACCTTCATTATAAAGGTTTTTATTGAAGTTTTGCTATCTGGTAGGCCGGGTCCTCCCTTTCTGTTCTCTTTTTTTATTTGTCTTGGGTACCCTGGTCGTTAGCATTTCCATTTAAAATTTAGGATCAGGTTTATCTGTAGACTCTCTTGGATTTAAAAATAGATAATCATTTTGATTGCAAATGAAGGTTTTGTCATTTCCAGTCAGCTCCTTATATACATAATTTATGATTGTTTTATTGTATTGACTTAGCTAGGGTCTTCAGGATTATGCTGAATAGTAGAAGTAATAGTGGGATTCCTGTAACTATTTTTTAATTTTTTTAATTTTTATTTTTGAGTTGGAGTCTGACTCTGTCACCCAGGCTGGAGTACAGTGGCACGCTCGTGGTCACCTAAGCCTTGACCTGTTGGGCTCAGGTGATCCTTCTGCCTCAGCCTTCCAAGTAGCTGGAACCACCAGCATGTGCCACCATACCTGCTAATTTTTAAATTTTTTTTTAGAGATAGGGTCTTGCTATGTTGCTCAGGCTGGTCTTGAACCCCTGAGCTCATCCTCTAGCCTCTGCCTCCCAAAGTGCACTGGTTCCCATAATTCTTAACATTAAAGAGAATGCTTCTTTTGGTTCACCATTATGTATGATGTTTGCTCTAAGTTTTTAGTAGAGACGCTTTATTGACTTAAGAAAGTTTTCTTCTATTTCTAATCTGTCAAGAGGGTTTTAAAAAAATTTTGTTTTGCTAAGAGTTTGAGCACCAATGAGTAATAATTTTATGAATGCTTTTAAAAAATCATTTCTTTAGTATCTGTTGAGATGATAGTATGATTTATGTTTTTCTTTTTTAATGTAGTTTATTATACAGATGGATGTTTTGCATTCTTGGGATGAGCAGAATATATAATTATGCAAGTAACTACAGGAATGTCATGTTCAAGTACAACTTCATTAATGAGTTATGACTGTTGAAAGGATGTTCTAGAAGGAAAGATAAGCACTTGTCAGATGTTCATGGGTCTCTGCCAAATCTTAGATTTCAAGATATGTTTGCAGAGAAATAGAGAGCGCTGCCAGCCTATGCTGAGGATTTCTAAGGCTCTTCTTTACTTGAGTGAAATACCATATAAAATAACATGATTTTGTAAGCTAACAGTGAAATACAATCCCTTTGTTTTCATGCAGAAGTCAGGAGGTGGATATTTATGTGGTATTTGACTGAATGAGAAAAAGTTATATGTTTAATTTTTAATGTGGATGTGCAGGCATATACTGTTTATAAGGAAAAATACATAAATTTTGTACTGTGAGAACAATAACTATTGACAGCAAAAATTAATAAAAATTTATATCAAATGTTTTTCAAATAGAAACTACAAACAGTTGTGATGTTTTTTCCATTCTATATGCTTTTCCTCCATTTTGGGATTTAAAATAAATGGTCAAGGAATTATGGCAATTGAGCTTGTTATTTCCTAGATAAGAATGATCCCTCAATTATGATTACATAAAATATTTTCTAGTGGGATTTTAAAAAGGAACCCCATTTGCATTTTTATTTTGTATTTTGTGCTGTCATAGCTTTTCCACTATTTGTTTGTAAGTAACTTGGAAAACAGTTCTATTGTTCTCATGAGCATTCCACATAAGTCCCCCAAATTTGAACTCCTTCTATGTGTTTTTCTCCCCCAAAGAAAGTTGGGGCTATAAATCATTAAATTTTTATTAGTTTATTCTAGTCAATTCTTCTCTCTTCAGAGAATATCTTCCCACATATTTGTATGTGTGGTGTGTGTCACATTTCTTTTGGGTGGGGACCAAGTGCTAGTAGGGCAGGACATGGAATGACTGGGGGTGGCTCTCTGTTTTTAGCAAGGAGTGCTAGTGTCCCCTCCAAACATCTGGACATGGAAACCAGGGCCAGAGACGTGCATTTGTGAGAACTGTCATCCCAGTCATTTCCTGATCATTTCCTGAACCTGGGAGGGTCTAGTTAGGCAACCAGTTACTTCTGGGTTATCCTCTCCCTGCATAGACTCCAGGATATATGAACTTGAGGAACTTGAGGTCAAACTTGGCAACCTAGACTTTTATAATTTGTGTTTGAACTTTTGCATGATGTGATTTTTCTTTTTTTTTTTTTTTTTTTTTTGAGTTGTAGTCTCACTCTGTCGTCCAAGTTGGAGTTTAGTGGCACACTCATGGCCACTGCAGCCTTGACTTGCTGGGTTCAGGCGATCCTTTTGCCTCAGCCTCCAGGTAGCTGGAATTACAGGCACATACCACCACGCCCGGTTAAATTTTTTTCTTTTTTCTTTTTTTTAGTAGAGATGAGGTTTTGTGAAGTTGCCCAGTCTGGACTCGAACCTGTGCGCTCAGACAATCTCCTCACCTTTGCATCCCAAAGAGCTGGGATTATAGGTGTGAACCACTGCACCCAGCCTGTGAAATGATTTCTGATGGAACTTTGAGGGCCTGAATCCAACTTTTCCTTTTTATCTAATTCTAATTAGCATTCCATTAATAATCTTTGAAAGACTCCCTTAGTAGAAAATAAACTATTAAATCACCCCTTTAAGTGAATAATTGTCATTATTTGTTTTTGTTCATTTAATTACTATAATTATTATTTATATTTAGTGTGCTGTATTTGTAGTGATCATTCTTGACTGTAGAAGAAAAGATCAAAAGTATATCACCAATGCTAATAATTATTAAGTTTTAGCATTGTTTTTATACCTTACATGCATTACTTCATTAATCTCCAAATCCATGTTAGTCTCTATTTATAAAAAACCAGTTTTAAAATTCAGGGAGATTTTGTTAGCTAACCCAGAGATATATAGCAACTAAGCGAAAGAACTGAATTTCGAATAAAAATGTTTCTTTCTCATTTGCTTGATCATTATAAAATTATAATACATTCCACTATAAGTGCTTAAAATCATTAACTGTTTATAAATAATCAAAACAAAATGATACAAATCACAGAAAACTCACACAAGCAAAATGACCTAAATAATATAGCCAGTATTGGCAAACTTTTCTCTTTTCTTTGAGTTGGGGGTCTCACTCTGTTCCCCAGGATAGAGCACAGCGGCATGATCATGGCTCACTGCAGTCTTGAATTCCTGGGCTCAAGTGATCCTCCTGCCTCAGTCTCCTGAGTAGCTGGGGCTACAGGCATGCACCATCATGTCTGACTAATTTTTTGATTTTGTTGTTGTTGTTGTACAGATGAGGTCTTGCTACGTTGTCTAGGCTGTCTCGAATCCCTGGGCTCAAGCAATCCTCCCACCTCAGCCTCCCAATTTGTTGGGATTATAAGTATGAGCCACTGTGCCCAGCCAGTATTAGCAAACTTTTTGAAATGTGAGGGATGTTTACTTTCTTCCTCTTCAAAATAAATGAAGGAAGATTGTACCGTTGCTGGAGAGGTCTCAAGATGGGGTATGCCAATGTGTGCAAGTAACCTAATAAAACCCAGCAGTATGGATGCAGTAAGGGAGAACAGGGAACAACATTTCTCCAAGTCTTTGAATCCTAGGAGGAGAAGACTCAGGTGAGGAAAGAGAGAGATGGACAAGTTGGCATGGTATTCTCATTCCTCTTGTATGTGCCCTGCCCTTGGCTGTCCTTACCTGGCTGTCCTTGAAAATTCTGAGGTATTGTCAGAATTTCTGTCATATTCTGAGTTATGTCATCGGAGCAAACAAATAGACAAAATGTCAATCAATACACATCACACGTGACTAAAAGCAGAGCAAAAACATCTTGAAATGGAAAGATTTTTTTTATTCCATCCTCTGAAGGTTGGTGTGTAGATACCCTCTTAATCTGAATATTTTTATAAATTAACTTTGAATTTGGTTTTTTCACTGGAGTGTTCCAACCAATGCTGAGAGAGAGAGAGGAGGGAGAAAGGGAGAGAGAGAGACGATTTTGTTTCTATCAAGTTTTCCCATATGTTATTAAATAGTGCTTTATAATTTTGGTTTTGAAATATGCTGTAATATTTCCAATTATCTCAAGCAATGTAATAAAATTTTCAAAAAATTCCCCAAGGAAAAAGATTGAGATATTTCTAGAGGGCTGTTAAAATAATTCCTCCTTTTTCTCTTTCCAGAACCGCACCATGCCAAACTACAAACTGACATATTTTAATATGAGGGGGAGAGCAGAAATTATTCGTTACATATTTGCTTATTTGGACATAGAGTATGAAGACCACAGAATAGAACAAGCTGACTGGCCTAAGATCAAATCAAGTAAGTAGCACAAATAATAGTTCATGAAAAAGTAGGGAAAATAGACTTTCAGAACTTTTTTCCTCAGGGAAATGAAAAAATAAAGATTTTTGAAGCTCATGTAGCTTTAAATTGAGAAGCAGCCATTCAGGCAAACTAAATAAATGCTATGCACCCTGGCACATTTCCTGTTAGAGATGAAAACACAAACCCCGCAGAAAGAAGATATAAAGATAAGCCAGCATAAAGCTTTATCAGAAGAGTTCAAATGGACATGAGACATATTATTGTTTCCATTTTACAGCTAAGATAACTAATTAGCACAGAGTTTAGGGAATTTTTCCAGTTTCTCAACCCTAGCAAGTAGAGCTGAGTTTCAAACCTAGGTCAAGTCTTTTTTTTTTTTTTTTTGAGTTGGAGTCTCACCCTCTCGCCCAGACTGGAGTGCAGTGGCATACTCACGGCCACTCTAGCATCGACCTGCTGGACTCATGTGATCCTTCTGCCTCAGTCTTCCAAACAGCTGGAACTACAGGCACATGCCACCACACCTGGCTAATTTTAAAAAATTTATTGTAGAGATGAGGTCTCACCATGTTGCCCAGGCTGTTCTTGAACTCTTGGGCTCAGGCAATCTCCTCGCCTCGGCCTCCTGAAGTGCTGGGATTACAGGTTTGAGCCACTGCACCTGGCCTAGGTCACGTTTTAATTAATTTATTTAATTTAATACCAAGCCCAATTTATTGGCACTAGACAATGCCAATAACAATACTATTAATGCCATGATAATCAGTAAATTAACATCGCTACGGACCTTCTGGAAGCATGAGCTCCTTAAAAGTCATTGTTCCTATAATCACTCTTGTTGTTAGCAGAGACCTCTTCTCTGGTGAGATAGAATAACTTACTTCCTATTTTCATGAAGCTTTACCATTACTACCCCATGTTTTTTTCTAATATCAGAATTTGTACATAGGGTTTTAAGACTGTGCGTGAACATAAAATAGGCAAACATTAATTTCATCCACTAATTAATTAGGACAAGATGGACAGAAAGGTGCAGGAATATTACATTGAACAAATTTTGCCTTTTGAGTTCTAAATATAAGGCCGGGCACAGTGGCTCATGCCTGTAATCCCAACACTTTGGGAGGCAGAGGTGGAGGATTACTTGAGTCCAGGGGTTCGATTCCAGCCTGGGCAACTTGGCGAGACTTCATGTCTACAATAAATCAAAAAATTAGCACATGCCCTGTGGTTCTGGCTACTTGGAAAGCTGAGACAGAAGGATCACTTGATCCCAGCAGGTCAAGGGTATGATGGGCGCGAACATGCCACTGCACTCCAACCTGGATGACAGAGTGAGACTCTGATTCCAAAAAAAAAAAAAAAAATGTATAAATGTATTTTATATATATATATATATATAAAATATATATATGTATTATATATATATATATAGTTGGCTGAGTGCCTCATACCCTAGTCTACTTTGACTTTTCTCTTTTATTTTTATATTATTTAATAATAGTAGAGATGGGGTCTCACTATGTTACTTAGGTTAGTCTTGAATGTCTTGGCTCAAGCAATCCTCCTGCCTTAGCCTCCCAAAGCACTGGGATTACAAGCATGAGCCACCAGGCCAGGACTACCTTTACTTTTCATTATGCTATTGAAAATGTAATTTCTGCATTTTCTTACTATTTTCATAGATCTTAGAGTTGGAAGAGATCTTAAAGCTTATGATGGTTAAGATATAGTTTCGAATACTTTAACAAAAATAGACATGACAAAGAATTGTTTTAAAGAGGACAGAAATCTCTTTTAAAGTTTTATTTTAAAGATGTGGGGTACAATTCAGGATTAGGTACTCAAGTGGTAACCCATTGTACAAGTGAAATTTGGGCCTCCCTTTGGTCCCAACTGTGCCTGGTTTGAGATCAGATACTCTTATTGATGTTTTGTGCCCACCCCCAACCCTGTAGTGTCCTGCTACTGCCAATCTGTTTCTTATAGTATTATGATAATTGTTCAGAGTCTGCTTATGCGTGAGAACATGTGGTACTCAGTTCTTTGTTTCTGTGATAGATCACTGAGTATTATAGACTCTAAATCCATCCAAGTTGCTTTGAAGTCTATAATTTAAGTAGGACAGAAATTTTGTTTGCACAAAACCCCAATTGATATCATAATTTTTCTCTATGAAGTTAGCAAAGATTAGGCTTCTTTCCTGTTGATCTCCTACCCCTAGCTGTCTTATTCACACAATGTGAGATACTTCACTCTTTTCCCACATTCTAGCTCATGGGAAGTGTGAAAGAGGGAAGGGACATGCCTCCTTTTAACAGCCCCACCAGAAAGTTGCATATGTCATTTGGGAATAACTTAATCACATGGTCACATATTACTGCAAGAGAAGCTGAGAAATGTTAACTTGATTGTGGATAACATTTGGCCAGCTAAAAATCCAGGGACTTATTAATTCAAGAAGAAGGGAAAGGAAAGAATAGATACTAAGGAAGCAGTTTCTATTGCAAATGTTATTTGGTCTCATCTGCCATACAATTTAGCAATGTCTTCCAGTGTTTGAAACTCTATATATGTCATCCCCTCTGCAAGAATCTGGAACTGAATCTCTTGTCAACACATTTCATCATTGGATATTTATATTAAAAAGTTCTTCTTGACAAAATCTGGTAGATTGTGCATGTGTTTACTTTTTTTCTCTCCTAAAACATTATTCTTCTCCTTTAATAACATTAAAGTACTTTTTTTAAAAAGGCTGGGCCAGACTCGGGGGCTCAGCCTATAATCCCAACACTTTGGAAGGCCAAGGTGAGTGGATTGCCTGAGTCCATGTGTTCGAGACCAGCCTGGGCAACTTGGTGAGCCATTGTCTCTACAATAAATAAAAAATTAGCCAGGCGTGGTAGCGTATGCCTATAATTCTGGCTACTTGGAAGGCTGAGGCTGAAGGATCGCCGGAGCGCGGTGGGTCCACACTGTGATGGCCGTGAGCATGCCACTGCACTCTAGCCTGGGTAACAAAGTGAGACTCCAACTCAAAAAAAAAAAAAAAAGAGAAAGAAAGAAAGAAAAAAAAAACTGAAGTCTGTAAGGACAAAGATATAAAGCTTGAATATGAGTATGACAACACAAAATTCTGGAAGCTAGAACACAGGCCAAAAAATAATAAGGTGACTTGGTAGGCCCATGAGCTCAAACATAAGCCTTGAGGAGAAGAAGGCAAGCTGAATCTCTCACAAATCCTGAAATAGGTTCATGAGTTAGTAGTAGCAGATAACTCTAAAAGCTGAGCTGATAGAGAATTCACTGGAGAATGTGAAGAAGCAGTATGACCATCAGATTCCTTCCTTGCTCTGGAAGAGGCCCAGAGGTTACTCTCGGGAGAGGATAGACCACAGGGTTCTGGGACAACATGCATGACTGAGGACATAATGTTATAATAAAGACGGGATTCAGTGGTAGTCTAGAAACTAAATGGTGAGACCCATAGTCCCTTTCCCCTGCTCTATAATTAGAATGCTGCAACAAGGCTAATATCCCTCAGGCAAAAATTGGAGACATTCTCTCTGGAGAAGCTGACCAGCCCAAGTTACTGAACAGATGGGGGTTTTTCAATGAAATGGCCCAGCCTGATCCATTGACAAGCCCCTCCCATGTATACTGAGCTTATAGGTAGCTTTTATTTCTTTGCCCTTTAAAACAGAAATGGCAAGTCAAAAATCAATAGATGCTTGAGAAAAATCTAATATAAAACAGACCTAAGCAAAGAAGCAGAAACCCCCCCCCCAAAACCCTGAGGAAACCAGGATAATTTAGCAAGGAAACAACTCCAAACATTTAATAAAACTCCTCAGAGAAATAAGAGATATTCTATGCATGAAACAAGAACAGGATGCTACAAAAAGGAATTCAGAGACAAACAGTTCTTGAAAATTAAAAATATGATACAAACAAATCAATAAAATGATAAAAAATAAGGAAGTCCCCCAGAAAATATATCAATAGAACTTAAAAATGGGGTATGAAAGAAGAAAGATAAAGAAAATCAAGGATTAATCAGTTTAGGAGGTTCAACTTCCAATGAAATTCTGGATAAAGAGGACAGAAAACAGAAGGAAAGCAAACTTTTAAAATAATCTCCCTCACACAAAATTGAAATCTGTCTCCTTATGGCTTTCATATATTGGTTTTAGACATCATTTTAATCCATCAAGAACAGGTTACTCCTTCTTTTCCATCCAAATACTTGAAGAATCTTAGTTTCTTTAAAACATCAAGACAGGACAGATGAAGAATAATTTTGTTAGCATTAGAGCTATTGACAATGGAATGTGTTTTCTTGTGAAATAGTAAACTTTCAGTGACTAGAAGTGTTTGAGCCAACCTTGGGATAACTGTCAACAGCTGGGACATTGGGATCCATCTAACAAGAAGACATTTAAGAAGACAAATCTTAAGTCCTTCATTTGGCTCCAGAAAAAAAAAATTGGAGGGTTGATGGAGGTGTCACTTAACAAGAGTACTTCTTTTATTATTATGTTTGAGTCAGAATCTCACTCTGTTGCCTAGGTTGGAGTGCAGTGGCACACTCACAGCCACTGCAACCTTGACCTGCTGGGCTCAGGCAATCCTTCTACCTCAGCCTTTCAAGTAGCTGGAACTACAGGTGTGCACCACCACACCCTGCTAATTTTTTTTATTTATTGTAGAGATGTGGTTTTGCCAAGTTGCCCAGGCTGGTCTCGAACCCGTGAGCACAGGCAATCCTCTCACCTCGGCTTCCCAAAGTGCCGGGATTATAGGCATGAACCACCAAGCCCAGCCAGGAGCTCTTCTTAAAAAGCATTAAGGTATTCAGTTATAGTGAATATGAGGCTTCAATGTTATATGGCTGACAAAATGATCTTGGCAAAATGTCTTAGAATAATGCCTATACTAATAATGTGATGGGGTGATGGTCCCATTTAGTTCTGTGATGGTCTTGTGCCTGAAAC